CCCCCCAAGAAAAAACACCCCCCACATACTTGTAACAATTTCACTGCCAATGGTAAAAGGGTCGTACAAGCACCCCAGGACACACTTCTACTGAAAACTGAACATCAATTGTAACGTGCTTACCTGTGCTTCATCTTTCCGCTCGTGCAAGCTCTTTCTGTCTTTTGGTTTCATGCCTGACTTTACTCGATTAAGACGATGGCTGAGACGATCAACTAAACTGTCTAATTGCTGCTGCCAGTTTCTCCACTTTTCAAGCTTCTTCTCTTCTTCAGCGATTTTTCTAGTTATCGAGAAAAAGATCCTTACAGTTAAAATAGCCTATATGATTGGAGCATGGACGGTGTGTGGTGCTCATGCGCCGCCTCTCAACGCTGATGTCATGGTTCGATCCCTCGATTCACCATCATATGTGAGCAGAGTTGCTTGTTGGTTGGCATTGCGCACGTCTAATTAACATTGCGCATGCGCAATTGGCTTTGCGCATGCGCAAAATCACATGACCAGTTTTCACGAACCTTTCCTCAGGTGTCATGTCTTCGTGTAGTGTAGAGAAAATGTCTTCTGGAAATTCGCTTCTCTCGAACTGAAACAATAAATAAATTCTTAGTGTTTAGAAGATGAATGCTGTCACGTGATAAGCGTGTCATGGCAACACCTACCATAGCATGTATAATAGCGTCTTCCTTTTCCATGTCCTCATCCGGGAACTCTATGTCCAGAACCGGTCTCTCTCGGTAATGGACGCCAATGGACTGCAAGAAGTCGAACATTTGCAAAAGTTATATTTTAGAGTTTGAACAAAATAACTATCAAAAGAATTGGGTCAAACCTCTTCGTCGACGAAGTCTCCGCTTCCTTGGTCACTTGGTATGTCTTTCAGCATATTATCAAGTCTGTGAATTGAATAATGTATGACATGAAAACGAGTCTTTCTTGTCCCAGTCTCTTTTACTAAATGCCATCATATACGCGTCATCCTCTTCACAGTCCCTCTCTTTAAGCTTTCCTCGTCTCCTCGGACTAGCGTCCGAAACGTCAGTAAGATTTTTCATCTTTTCACGGTGTATAATTTACCTTTTTATCATTACTGTTTCATTAGAAACACCGACGCAGCTCAAACTAGTTTTTAGCTAGTTATATCTTCTGTCCTCTCACGGTCATTCTACTTACCTGTGTTCATCGTGCACAGCCTGCCTGTGTAATATCTTCAGTTGGATCTCTAACTCACTAATGTAAGCCTTGATCTCATCTTTATCCTTCTCGTCGATGTTGTCGTCATGGAGAATGTCGTTGGAAACATCAAGACACCGAACGATCTCGTCTTCTTGTTCTTCAATGTTTTCCCTGCATTCCTTGGAAGTGAATAAAAAATACTGGTCTCAAAACCACGTGACGCCAAAAATAAGAAAAAAATGTAGTAAATAAATACCTTAGCATCTCTTAGTTTCTTCTTGATGTCATCTTTGTCTCTTGGCTTCACCGACACTCTCTCAAGTCTCTCTTTTAGATCCTGGAGAAATTCTTCCAACTTCTCTTCACATTCCCGCCAACGATCAAGTTTGTGTTCATTGTACGCTTGTCGTCTACACGTGGGAAACAAATTCACCATGACAACGATAAGTATATGACGCAAATGGTTTCCATGGTGATGTGAAATAACATACCTTTCTTCTGGAGTTCTTTCGTCCTCTAGATTCATGATGTATTCATCTGTACCTTTCTCGAAAAACTGAAATGACAGAAAAGATGTCAAGCGTCACGCTACATGCATCAAGAGTTCTGCGCTACTGCTCTAAGCGCATGCTCAAAGGGTCAAAAAGTGGGATTATAGGTAACATTTTTAAAAATCGACCTATCTCGAATTCGCTTGACTGACCACGATGGTTTGAAGTTGAGACTGGACCTGATTATTTTATTCTATTGCTATATTTCAATTTTTCTTCCTTATCAAGAAGAATTTTCTTCAATATTCTAGAGCAAGTAGCGTTAAGCTAATTCCAAATCAAAAACAAAACAAAAAACAAAACAAAAAAAAAAGCAATTTTTACAACCAATGATCCCACTTTTTGACCTCTTGAGCTTGTGCTTAGAGCAATATCGCGGAACTTTTGATGCATTTATAAACGTAAACAGAGAACTCGGTTGCCATTTCAATCACGCGAGGAGAAGAATCACACGTTGAACAACTGGGATCGCTTGGTCAGGATGTTCTGTTTGAACTCTTAAGATGACTAACCTTTAGGTTAACGGTTTGGTCAACTGAGTTGAGTCTGAGTGGAGATGGTGGCACACTGAGTCAGAAAAAAAAACTAAATTAAAAAAAAGGCTGAGGTAAAATGGGTTACGATTTGAAGTGCTAAAACGAGTTTAAGGTCAAATATATGTATAATTAGAAAATGTTATACAGTGAAATAGCTAGTTAGTATAGCATCACAAACATCGCAGAGCATCATGGTAACTTTTGGGTTCAGTAGGAACCAGTTCATATGCAAAAGAAAAAGATGACTAGAAATATTGTGAGAAATGAGGCTACATTTTGAATCACAAGTATCGCAGAGCATCATGGTAGCTCTTGGGTATCCTTCTAAATGGAAACTTCTTTGCTCTTAGCAAATTTCTTTGATCTTCGTCGTTTTGTATAAAGTAATAGTAACAAATCAGTGTCACAGACATACTTTACGAGTTGGTCATCTAGTTTTGACAGACCGTCCCAGTCTGGCTCTCGYTCCTGGAACTGCTGTCCGATTGGCTGACAACAAAACAAATAAACATACACAAAAATAAACAAAAACAACAAAAACAAAAATTGTCATCCCCAGTCCTTTGTTCACGTGCAGAAGAACCGGGTACGAGACTAAAACACAAAATAAAAACAAACACACAAAAAGAATATTTAAATGATTGAAAAAATATCGTTCCCAGTCCCTCATTCTGACGTGTAAAGCAAGATGAGAGAAACTGAGTATGAGGCTAAACAACAGAAAGAAAAAAAGACATGGAAAAAGAAACAAACAAAAAGGAAAGAAGAATAAGGAATGTAACCAGCTGAACAGACGAGCGAGCAGATGTTACCTCTTCTTCCACAACATCATCTTCTTTGACTAATTTTCTTGGATGACGTTTTTCCAAAAGTTCTTCAATCCTTAAAAGCAAAATGATAAATGCGAAATAAATTTAAAATCTTTTAAAAATAAAAAAAAGTGATTTTGGTTTTGCACAGCGAATCTGAGGTCACKTACGCCATTTTGAAGCCCAGTATTCTTGCATTATATTTACATCAACCAACATGACGGTCGTGAATTGTGGATGTGACGTCATAGCCGCCATGGCAGAGGGATTTATTCTTATTGTTTATTGATATTATCCAATACTGTGTATTTGGTTTCTGAGTAGCATGTGACGTCATAGCTTCCATGTTGGATGATTTAACAAAGTATTTCTCATTGTTTACTCAAGTGACATCATCTAATATGGCAGCAATAACTTCTGTTATGTGACATTCTAGCCAGAACTGTAACCAATCGCATTTTTCTAGTCGCATTCAATTGATCCTAAATACAAACCTTTTTTCCTCATCGTTCGCCTGTTGGTGGATGTTTCTCAGTTTGATCTCCAGCGTAGCGATATAACCTCGGATCCTTTCCCTCTCGGCCTCGTCCACGTCATCATCGTCGATAAGGTCATTACCCAATCGTATGGATTCACGAATCATCGGCTCAGAACCCTCGACTTCCTCTTTGCATTCCTGTCAATCGAAGATAAAATCAAAGCTGTAACCAATAGCAACCAACGTTAGTAAGTAGTCACGTGGCAAGCCAAACGAATAAAGAATAAACCACACGTAATAAACGAATACAATAACTTGAAGAATTGTATGGCCAAAGAGCTGCCGTTTCTCCTTGGGGAAATAGTGCCCGATTGGGGGAGCTGTGGAAAAGTTGGACGTGACTGGAACTTTCCCTTTTCCATCACATTCTTTTCCCATTTCTGTTTGAAACCTTAAAAGCTTAACGAAGGGAACGCCTGCTCTTTCGCATACGATACTCCACTCTCGACTACAGAGTTTTTGCAATTTTTACTGCGCATGCTCGACAAAAAGCTAGGTAAAATTTTTGGAGCATGCGCAGTAGAACGACAGGTCTCTTGGGTCAGGATTGACGGTTACTCTAGAAGACACAACGACAAACGTCCTCAGCGGTTAGCAACTTAAGACATGTTAAACACAGACTTATAACACCGAATTAACTACTACAATGACGTCACTACTACGGATAATCTCTGGTTTGAGAGTTCATGTTGCGAACCTTATGATTCATCCAAGCTTGTCCTATTGCATTATCGTCCTGTGATTAAGATTAGAGCTCAAATATAAGCATAGTCTTTACACTTGTTACTCTAGTAAGCAAGCATCTTGGACGGAATCTAAGAGTGGTCGCTTACCAGAGGTTAATTAGTCTAGTAGTTACTTTATCCCGCTGAGGCACCCTCCACCTTAATATTAACATGTATTATTAATATTTATCAATATTATTATTCATTATTAATTTTTAATCATTATTAATTTACCACCATAAGGAATCGTATTAAATAATATTGGTCGGATAGTTGTCGGTGGTCGCTTACGAGAGTTTATTCTAGCGGTTTAGTCCTGCTTACCTAGCACCGACCACCTCAATTCGGACACTGGGTGGTCGTTTAAGAGAGGGTTTCTTAAGCCATGATATTTATTTTATATTACATGCTGCATTCTTTATGATGTCATTAACGAGAACAGCCAATCATATACTTATACACTGACCCTCCTGATTGAATCAGGATTAGTCATGTGACCAGTAGTCACGTGACAAGCCGTGCTATATTTGGTACCTTGGCGTCTTCCTGCTGTTCTATGAGGTCTTTCAGGGATATTGGATCAGCAGCTTTGATTCTGTTCAATTTTTCCATAAGTCTTTTCAGAAGCTCATCTATTCTTTCTTTTAAGTCGCGCCAGTGTCGAAGCTTCTCTTGTTTCTCGACTTCAAATCTGAAAATAACAATTTGCGATGTAAGAAGGATTAGTACCTGCAAAGAGCAGAGCAGAGCAGAGCACAGCAGAGCACAGCAGAGCAGAGC